TCTTGTTGTTGAAACCTCAGCTAAAAAAGAGAACAACTTGTTGAAACTATAAACTCATTTTGAATACAATTAAAATTTTAGCCCCTAATATATATATATATATATATATATAATTTTAGGATATTTGTTTATATTCTATGTTTTAAGTTTATTTAAAGGTTATACTTTCATTTTTTTATTGCGTCACATGTACACCTTCAAATTAAATTTAATATGCAAATCTATATCTTAGCCCAATCATCCATTGATTTGACCTTAAAATGACTAAGCTATCCTTAAGAAAAAGTATTAAAAAAAAAAAACTTAAATTCTAAAGTTAGAAAACACAGAAAAAAATGAGGTCAAAACCATAAATTTAAAAGATTTTTTTTATTTTTTAATTTATAAATTTGAGGGCATATTTTAGGTAACTTGAGGTTAAACTAAGAACTGATCATAAACATATATAGATTTGTATATTAAATCTAATTTAATAAGATAAAAATTTGAAGATATATGGGCCCGTTTAGTTCGCTGATTCGAGTTTTTAATTCGAGTTGAAATGTGATTTTATGTGAGAACTTTTTACTGTAGCAAAAAAGTTAGATGTGATTGTTTGTGAGAGCTTTTTACTGTAGCAAAACTCGAATTCTAAACTCGAATCAGCGAAATGAACGGGGCCATAGACTTTAGTTTGTTTCTCCCTTTGAATCACAACTCACAACTCAAACTTTCTGATGAGGTGACAATTTGGATTAGCACTATAACTTGCGTGTATATCCATCTATTTTGCAAATGTTTGACATTATTCTGGACAAATGATGCATGAAAAAATATAAAAACTTAAAATCAAGCAAGCAAATAAAAATTTTGGTACTATATACGCCTAACTTGAAAATAGTTATAACGATTAATGATATTTTTAAATATGTAAAATCTAATTGTTCAATCTCTGCATAACTTTTCTATAAGTAAAAGTAACAATGTTCATAACATATTCCCATCTTAAATTGTCACACTCTCAAATGTTAATTATTTTTATTGTTTGCATGTCATAAAATTAACAATTTTAGTATCGTTCAGTTCTTTAATTCAATTTTTCAATTCCAGTTTACTTTATAAAATGTTTTCATAAAAAGTCACATCTAACATTTTTACTACAGTAAAAAACTCTCTTAAAAATTAACATTTCAACTCGAATTGAAAACTCAAATTAAAAAACTGAACGAGTTTTTACTTTTTTTGCAACTACCAAAAATTTTGTGATTAGAATAGTGGTCCATTCAAACGTTGACAAAATGAAAGTAACGTTGACAAAAAAAAAATAGAAAAATTGAAACATGGGCGTTAATGTTTTTATTCTGAAAAGAAAAAATTAATTAAAAATTAAAAATAGAGATAACATAGGGTTTTTTTGGATATTTATAGTTTTATACCTTGTATTTTGGATAGGGATGTTCATGGGTTAGGTTGGTGCGGGGTAGGGCTTTTTCTTCCCCCGCCTCAAAAGGTGCGGGTTGCACATATTTGGACCCAACGATATTATAAAAATTTCACAACCCAATGATGTTTGGGTTGGGTTAGGTGGTTAGTTTCAACATTCAATAAATCAGAGACTCAAAGTTCAATCCAACATTCAAAGTTCATCATCAAATAGAAATAATAACTCAAACATTCAAACAAATAGAATTTAAAGTTCAATCCAACATCAAACATGAAGCAAAATAGTCAATCCAACATCAAAGATAAAACAAACATAAATTAGTCTACACTCATAAATTAGTCTTAACGTAAAGTAAATATAGAGGCTTAATTCAAACATGAAGAAACTAGATAGTAGAAATGAGTTGCATGCTTAGGGTTAGATATTAGAGGAGGTAAGTTAGAGCGCGGGTTGGGTTAAGGTGTGCGGGTCATTATAGGCGCAACCCACACTCCGTCTCAAAACTTCGGGGCAAACATTGAATGTGCCGAAAAAAAATTTTAATACTGGAAATTACATTTTTCGGGTTGGGTTGGGGTGGGGTGGGTTGGGCCTGCGGATTTATGAACAACCCTAATTTTGGATTTATTTAAAAACTATAACTTTAGTTTTTTATCTCATCAAATATGTACATTTAAATGAGATTTAATATACAAATTTTTACCTTATTTTGTTCAACAATTGATTTTAACCTTAACAATGATCAAATTATCCTTAAAAAAAAGAAAAAAAAAACTAAAACTTTTCAATATGATAAAAATAAAAATAAAAATAATAAAAAATCATTTTAAGGTATTTTGAATATTTTTGAGGTTAAAACTATAAGTTTAATTTTCTTTTTTAGTTTTTCTTTTCATTTACCATTTTTATTCAAAGGTATTCTAGGTATTTAAAAATTAAAATCGAGAGTTTACCATAGAAATGTATAGATTTGTGTATTAAATATAATTTAAAGATATATATATTTAATGAGATAAAAAATTAAAAGAATAGTTTTTAAATAAACTCAAAACACATGGTATAAAATAGTAAATATCCCTTTTTGGGGGGTTTTTTTAAGACAACATAGGTTAGATATACTTATCAAAACAGTGATCCTCATCAATAGAGAGAGAGAGAGAGAAAAAATAATGTTACATTGATCGGCATAAAGTCAAATTTTTAATAAGAAATATAGGATGCGTTTAATACTCGTTCTAAAATAATTTTATTTTTTTGTATGAAAATGAAAACGTTTTCAATCTCAGACAGAAATCATTTTTAAAAATGCGTTTGGTAGTTTTATCAAGAGATTATTTTCAATATAAAAAAATCCATTAATGTCCATCTCTCTCTGCTCGAGAGAGGAGAAAACAGAAACAAAAAATGAAAAACGACTAAAAGTTATTTTTCATTTCTCTCCCATTTTACATTAAACTAAAAAATCGTTTTCATTTCCATTTTTTGTCTTTAATTGTGCCAAATACCGTTTCTCTTCCATTTTCATTTTTTATTTCTCGAAAAATGTGAAAAATAAAAACAACTCTAAACACAGCCATAAAGTCAAATTAATCACTCGATCATGAAAAACAAGGAGAAAAAAACATGTCTTTAGATGTTTTATCAAAAATGGAAAAATTGACGACATTGGATAGATTATGCGATAATAAAACCAAGAAAATAGGAGAGTAAAAAAAAATCACTCGGCTCGATAGGGTTGAGAATCTGAGTAGCAATACGACGATACGACTCAAAACCCGCACGAAGTTAGCAGGTTGAATTTATTATAAATAGGTTTGAGTTATAATCAGGTTGACACAATTAATAAATGAATTGGATTAGGGTTGACCTCCTAACACGAAATGAAATGAATTGACACGATTAAAGATATGTGACATCTGCAATCTAGTGATATGTGATATAATATGAAAGTTTATATGACATATTAAATACAAATAATGTGAATTTTAATATTTGTAGGTAAAATTCATTTATTTTTCTTAAAATAAAAGATAAATTGACTAATAAACATGTTAAACTTATCTTGATCGTGTTAAATAAGTTATTATTAGATTATTTATTTATTCAATATATTTATTTAAACAAGTTATACGGATTGACACGATCAACACGATTAATAAATGAGTCGTGTTTGAGTCGATATTTTTAACAAGTTTAACAAATATGTATTGTTTGAGTTAATATTTTTTGACATAATTAATAAATGAATTGATACGAACACGACTCATTAATACGAATTATGACCTTTACGGTTCGGCCAATCACATCCCTTGCCAAGTAGGACCAGTATTAATATTTTTATTTATTTATTTATTTGGTTTTTGAAAAGATATTTTTAATAATTTTTTTGCCAAGTATTTTTTTTTTTATAATATTCAATAAATAACAAGAATAACGCAGTATTTCCTCTGTACCACCGTTCAGTCACCCACCAAACCCCTATTTTTGTTCCCCTCACAAAAAAGCTCATCAAAAGCTCTTTCTCCCTCTCGGCCGGAGACCAAGTCCAACGATCGAGATGGCTCTATCACACATAGCCACCTCATCATCCCGCTCCAATCTCCTGCGGCCGCTCACATCCGCCTTATCCTGCACCTCCCACTCTCTCCGCCGCCCGATCTCCTCCTCCGCCGCCACCGACGACTCCACCACCCTTCTCCCACGACATGGCCAGGATGCGGCGGATGGAGATCGCCGCCGACTCGCTCTACAAGGCCAAGCTGATCCGAGGGTTCTGCCACCTCTACGACGGCCAGGAGGCCGTTGCGGTGGGGATGGAGGCGGCGATTACCAAGAAGGACGCCATAATCACCGCCTACCGCGACCACTGCATCTTCTTGGGCCGCGGTGGGACCCTCCTGGAGGTTTTCGCGGAGCTCATGGGCCGCCAGGCCGGTTGCTCGAGAGGGAAGGGTGGTTCGATGCATTTTTACAAGAAGGACTCCGGGTTTTATGGCGGCCACGGTATAGTCGGGGCTCAGGTCCCGCTCGGATGTGGATTGGCCTTCGCGCAGAAGTATTCCAAGGATGAAGCCGTGACCTTTGCGCTCTACGGCGACGGCGCGGCAAATCAGGGGCAGCTTTTTGAGGCGCTTAACATCGCCGCGCTCTGGGATCTGCCTGCGATTCTGGTCTGCGAGAACAATCATTGTAAGGACCGAAAAAGAGGATTAGATTCGATTTGATTTGAGAAATTTGACTTTTTTTTATTTTTGGGTGGTACCAAGTACCAACCAAGGCAATTGCATTGAATTTTTTTTTTTTTTTTTTTTTTTGGGGCAGATGGTATGGGTACGGCTGAGTGGAGAGCGGCGAAGAGCCCGGCCTATTACAAGCGTGGGGACTATGTTCCTGGCTTGAAGGTGAGGCTGATAAATTCCGTGCTTTGTTTTGAATTTCATGTTTCATTTTGATGAATTTTGGTTCCTTTTCTTGTTGGGTATAGATTTTTAGCTGCTTTTGAAATTATGTTTATGGACTTGTCCAAAGAGGAAAATTTGAATGAATTGCTTAGAAGTATTTTCAATCCGTTATGAGATTTCATACCAATGAAAAATTATGGCTGCCCCTTGTTTGATTGTTAGTGGAATATAAAGTAAGTACAGCTGAAACAAACTTTTTCGTTGCTTGTCTGCCTGTTGTGCAATCTATTGCTCACCAACATACTAACTTTATTAAATTTTGTGCCACTTTTGAGCTCATTCTCTCCGCAGTTTAACCAAATTACATTTTTTATGTGGTCTCTTCGTTTTAAGTGTTAAATTATGCCCTTAAGATTTATTCGAGAATTTATTTTTTTGAAAGCGAATTATAAGAGAAATCAATAGTTGGGTTTTTAAAGCAGTTTCTGCTAGTAACTTTGACTTTCCTTTTATTTTGATTAGCTTTTTGATTCTGGTATTCTTCCATTTGGTCTGCTGACGTTTGTGCTTTTGCCGCTTTTGTGGGTTTTCAGTCATAAGGCAATAAATTCTATTATATTAGATTTATTTGTCTCAAGTAAATATATGTTCTATTTTTCTTTGGATCGACTATAGTTTTTGTCGAGCTGTAATTTGGTTTCCTTTAGCCAACAGTTTATAACATACATTCCCTTTGTAACAGGTTGATGGTATGGATGCCTTTGCAGTAAAACAGGCATGCAAATTTGCTAAAGAGCATGCTTTGAAGAATGGACCCATTGTGAGTTTGAGCATGCAAATTTTCTCTCTTTCATTCCTTCTTTGTTTCTTTCTTTGAAACCCGTGTTTGTTCTTTGTTATAAAATTGGACTGTACTGCTGGACCACTTTAAGGGCAAACTTGAACTTAATTCTCCACTTGTTTTGTTGGCTACTCAATGTTTTCTGACCAGGGAAAAGGTGTGGGAGCCATAGGTTAGTAAATTTTAAGCTACAGGCAACAATGACAACCCACACCGCCCACACCCCAACAACAACAACAACAACAACAAATACAAGCCTTAATCCTAAATTAATTGGGGTTGGCTATATAGATTTCTCATTTCCAGTCTGTTCTATTAAACAAGAGGCCCTCCTGAAGCCCTAGATCTTGAAAGTCGTGCCTAACTACGTCGGCCCAAGTAATTTTTAGTCTACCCCTCGCTCTTCTAGTACTAGGTATTTGGATGTTCTCCCAAGCACGAACAGGTACATCTAATGATCTACGTTGTACATGCTCGTACCACCTCAGACGGTTTTCCCGCACCTTATCTTCTATTGGTGTTATTACGAATAATTTAATTCTGTATGCGATCCATCATCATATGGCCACTCATCAATCTTAACATATGCATCTCCGCCACACTTATCTTGTATATTTGTTGTCTCTTGACGGCCCAACATTCACTATCATATAATATAGCTGGGCGAATTGCTGTCCTATAGAATTTTCTTTTCAACTTAATAGATATCTTATTATCACATAAAACTCTCGTGGCATTCTTCCACTTAACCCACCCTGCCTTAATCCTATGTCCAATATTCTCATCTATATCCCCTTCACACTGCACTATGGACCCAAGGTATCTAAATTTCCTAAAAGCCCTAATCACCACATCATCCAAAGAAATTCCATCACTCTGATCTCTCAAATTACTAAACCTACAATGCATGTACTCAGTCTTCGTTATACTTAATTTAAATCTCTTCGTCTCAAGGGTCTGTCTCCATTGTTCTAACTTACGGTTAATGTCCTCCTGATATTCATCAACTAAAGCTATATCGTCTACAAAAAAGCATACACCAGGGAATCCCATCTTGAATTTCTCTTGTCAGCTCATCCATCACGATAGTGAAAATATAAGGACTAAGAGCGGAACCTTGATGAAGCCCAATCTGAATGGGAAACTCTTCCGTGTAGCCTCCAGTAGTTCTCACACTTGCGACAGCTCCATCTTACATATCCTTTATTACCTTGATATACCTCATATGCATTCCTCTCTTCTCTAGTACCCACCATAACAATTCTCTCGGTACCCTATTATATGCATTTTCTAAATCTATGAAAACCATATGCAAATCTTTCTTAGCTATTATATACCTTTCAATCAACATCCTAAGAAGAAAAATAACCTCCATGGTTGATCTACCGGGCATGAATCCAAATTGGTTACCTGAGATGGTAGTTGTGGCCCTTAATCTCTTTTCAATAACTCTCTCCCAAAGCTTAATAATGTGACTTATTAGCTTTATGTCCCTATAGTTGTTACAATTTAGTGCATCTCCTTATCTCGTTAAAAAGCTTAGTGAGCCACTTAATTCCAACATCTCTTAACACCTTCCAAACCTCTATTGGGATATCATTTGGCCCACATGCCTTCTCCATTTTCATATCTCGTAATGTAGTTTTAATTTCTGAAACTCTGATGCCTCTTGTGTACATCACATTTGGTTCGTCTTGGTACCTAAGATTGCCAAACCCCATTGCATGATTTTCATTATAAAGTTTCTCAAAGTAACTCTTCCACCTCTCCCTAATATCTTCATCTTTCATCAGAACCTGATCCGCATCATCCTTAACACATCTCACTTGATTTAGGTCCCGACACTTCCCTTCTCTTATCCGAGTTAGTTTATAGATATCCTTCTCTCATTCTCTAGTCTCAAGTTTCCTATACACCTCATCCAAATAAGTAGCACGAGCCTTATTAACTACTCTCTTATCTTCCCTCTTCGCTTCTTTGTACTTAATAAAAGTCCCATTATCCTTACACTTTGGTAGCTCTCTATATAAATCCTTGTTGGTCCTAGTAGCATTTTGAACTTCCTCACTCCACCACCAAGTTTTCTATACCGGAGGGCCTTTACCTCTAGATACTCCACCACCAAGTTTCCTATACCGAAGGGCCTTTACCTCTAGATAGTACCTCCTTTGCCACTTTTCGAATGCAACTCGCAACGGTGTCCCACATAGTATTTGCATCACCTTCGCATGACCAAGTAGCCTCCTTTAACAACTTCTCCTTAAAAGCCAATTTCTTTCTTCCCTTTAAATGCCACTAACGAGTTCTTGAGAGGTGATTTATCTTCATTCTTCTATGGTAAAGCCTAATGCTCACATCTAGGGTTACTAACCTATGTTGGGTGGCTAACGCTTCCCCAAGAATTACTTTACAATCCTTACAAAGAGAACGATCTCTGTACCTAATGAGAAAATAATCTATCTGGCATGAGTTCCTCCCATTCTTAAAAGTGATTAAATATGAATCTCTTTTCTTAAAGAATGTGTTAGTTATAACAAAGTTGTGTCTCAATGCAAATTCCAAAATGGATTTCCCTTCTTTGTTTTGAGCCCCAAAACCAAAACCACCGTGAATCCTCTCGAAGTTTTCTCTATCCTTACCAATATGTCCATTCAAACCTCCTCCAATAAAAATGCTACTCTCATTACCTATACTACGCACTGAGTCATCCATGTCTTCCCAGAACTTGGTCTTAGTTTCCTCATCCAATCCTACTTATGGAGCATAAGCACTAATTACATAATTGAACTTCTCCCCTAACACCAATTTGATCAAAATTATTCTATCACCTAATCGTTTAATCTCAACCACTTAAAGTTTTGTCCACTAGAATGCCAACTCCATTGCGATTCCTTTCCCAACCTGTGTACCATAACTTATGTCCTAGGTTTCCAATCTCTTTTGCCTTCTCTCCCGTCCAGTTGATTTCCTGTAAGCAGAAGATGTTAATTCTTCTTCTCAGCATAACATCTACTAACTTCATAGATTTACTGGTTAAAGAACCTAGATGAATTTTCCTATCATGGGCTAGCTTTTCCCTTTGCACACGTCCATGAATGTGTAAGGACCCCCTTGCATATTTTTCACCATATCCTTGCATGGGCTAGCTTCTCCCTTCGCACACGTCCATGAATGTGCGAGGACCCCTCTTGCCCGGGGCCCAGCATAGCGTGTCGCACGTAGGGAACGCCCCAATAGAGTTTGTAAATGAGAAATCCATGTAGAATGACATATTTTTATGCTAGCTGTCAACCTACCGCAACCTTTCATCCTTTAATCGGGCTTAGGACCGGCGGTACGAATCACCGTATAGGCGGAGTTACACACCCCCCACACCCCAAAAAAAAATGTAACTCATATGCGAGGGCTTAAACTAGACTCTCGTTATCATTTAAGCCCATTTGTGAACCGGAAATAGTGCATAGGTACTCTTCAATGAAGCAGGGCCGAGACGACATGACATACTACGATCATGTACAGAAGTGCTGCCCTTCGGCTCGGCAATACGGAACCTTTCAACAGCTCCCGTTCCTTTATAAGATCCTATCGGACCTTTTAGGCTGAAAATAAGATGAGAGAGAGGAAATGCTTTTTTATGCTCTAAGAAATTCGTACACTGGATCCATTAGATTATCTTCATTACAATCTTAGGGCTCGTAAGTTGCCTTGGCGGTTTCTCTTATATGTGTTGGAAAAGAAACGCCATGCTTTAGTTAGGTATCAATAGAAGGATGTCAGTTGTTTAATCCAAACATTGAACTGGACAATGGGAATTTGGTGATTTTTGAGATCCAAGTTTTTTCCTCTAATGATAGAATTACATTACTGGTCTCCTAGTGCATGTTAGGTACCTTTACTTTTTAAAGGGCAAAAGAGTTGATGAGTGTTTTTTTCCTTGGAATTAAAACCTTATTTTTGGTGGATGAATCTTGGGGTACTGGCCTTTGTACCTTTCTGAACATACCTTCTTTTCTATATAGTATCTCTACAGAAGTTTGAGTTTACCACGCACGTGCCCTTTTTCCTACGTGCCTTTTTTTCCTGTCGAAAAAGGGCATGCTAGATTAGGTTATGTTTCACTGATTTCCTTTCTATTATATCAAGGGTCATGCTTTGTGCGGTAAAACGTAATCTTGTCTTCATACTATTATTTCGTTTTATATCAATCTGACGTTGTGTTATCATTCCACATGGAAGTAGTTATTTGACCCATCTTTGTAACTTTGTTTTTCAGATCCTTGAAATGGACACCTATAGGTACCATGGTCACTCCATGTCTGATCCTGGAAGCACGTATCGTACGCGTGATGAGATCTCTGGTGTGAGACAGGTATTTCGATGATAGCCCTATATTTATATGCAGGAAAGTAATCTTGTATTCTGGCTAGAGCTTATCATTAATAGTTTTTCTTGGTGATGTTTCTAGGAGCGTGATCCAATTGAGAGAATAAGAAAGCTGATATTGGCTCATGATATTGCTACTGAAAAAGAGCTCAAGGTATCTTTCATACTACAGTGTTTCCACTTTCATGGACTTGCATTACAATAATGTTCTGTGTGAATTTTCTTTGTGAATCTGATATCCAATTTAATATTTAAGGAATTCCATAATCAGGAACAAATTTTGATTATTAATTCTCTTCAACCTTGCTGCTGTGGGGCTTGATCTTAGCATTGTATGCCCAAAGAAGACCTTCTTTGTAATAATGCTTGAAATATTTAAGTTGATTCTTAAAACCATATGAAAGTGCTGATAATTGTTTGCTTTACTTGAAGGATACTGAGAAGGAAATAAGAAAAGAAGTGGATGAAGCCATTGCTAAGGCCAAGGTAAGACTCCTGTTTCATTTCACCATTTGATTTTTTTTTTTTTTTTTTTTTTTTTTCCAGTTATATACCTGTACCTTTTTTACAGGCAGTCTTGCTTATCTTCCTCTAGCATAGATTACAGGTCTTTATTGGATGTTCTTTAGGGTTATGATTTTAATGCTGTTGTTTTTATTGTTTTTCAGGAAAGTCCAATGCCAGATCCGCCTGAACTCTTCTCAAATATTTATGTCAAAGATTCTGGACTTGAGGTAATATTTTCACTCGGAGGATAATATCCCCTGCCTTGCCCCCCTTAAACAAGCTATTGAATTCGCACCTTGTGTCCTTTCTTGATTAGCAAGAATATTTTTTACCATTTAACTGATTGAATGTTTCTGATTATTAATCGCAGGTATATGGTCCAGATAGGAAAGAAGTCAGACTTACGCTTCCTTGAATGAAACCCGACGGGGAAAATTTCTCGTTACTGACATCTTCCCTGCCTTTTTGTTCTCGCCTAAACGGACCACAATCATCCTTTCTCCTGGAAAAGAAGGGGGGGAAAAAGAAGCAATAAATGATTGAGTGAAGATGTTTTTCTCATCTGGTTAAAATTCCATTATTTTCTTTTTTGTATAGGATATTGATTCTTCTCAAGAATTGGGGCGGAATGGTTGAATTCCAGCCTTTGTACTTTTGCGGTGAGCCCATAACCTTTTGATTGATAATGAGTGTGCTTTTGATCCTCCAATACTGGCATTTCTTCATCTGTTTCGGCTCTTATTTTTAATTACGCTTTTCATCTGTGTCTCTCTGTGTGTGTGTGTGTGTGTGTGTGTGTTCTTTTCGTTTTAAAAGGGTAAAAAACGACTTCTAAAACGTCATTAACCACTAAACGACATTAACGGGAAAGCAAAAACCATAACAGGAGTGTTAAAAAAAAAAAAAGAAAGAGTAATCTGATTCTTGACAAATATCCATTGAAATTGTATGATCATGATTTTTACTTTTTATTTATAATCTTTTTAGTCAAATAATTACATTAACAAAAAGATATATCAAGAATAAAAGATAAATGTTCAGACTCTAAATTTTTTATTTAAAAAATAAAAATAAAAAACCTAACAGGAACCCCAAACCATGCATAATAACGAACTTAAAACTCCATTAAACGATAATTGGTATGAAGAAACGACGTCAAAGTAAGGAAAGGCAGTAAGCAAAAAACATTATGAACTGAACTACTGATTAACGGCAACCGACACGGATGACAAATGCAAGAAAGGCAAAACCGACCTCAACTGGGTAGACGACAACTGCGCAAGGGGAAAACGACAACGACAGAAGAAACCACGATAACAAGAAAACGACGTCAAAGTAAGGAACGGCAGTAAGCAAAAAAACATTATGAATGAACTACTGAAAAAGGGCAACCAACAGAGAAGACAAATGCAAGAAAGACAAAAAACGACATCAACTGGGTAAACAACAACTGAGTGAGGTAAAAACGACATCAAAATAAAAACGACAATGAGGTAAATGACAATAACATAAAAAAGAGAATAAGAGAAAAATACTTCAATGACAGAATCTAAACCCAAAACATACTAACTTAAGAACGCCAGCAACACATTAAAAAAATGAAAACGACAGATGAAGAAAAGTAGAAAACGACAATAAATTAGTGAGAGAACCAATTAAAAAGAAAGAAAAAAAAGACATGACATTACATGAAGAACAATCAAAACATAAACAATGATAAAAGGGAGGATAACGTGATAACAAACGTAAACAACGTGGAATGGATAAACGACAAGAACATAAAACAATGATTAAAAACGACGTCAAGTGAAAAACGACAATAACTCAACGACAATGGCGACGACATAAGAAAAAAAATGATACCAACTGGGAAAATGACAACCACCAAAAACGATGAATTCCTTAAAAACGACAATATGTTGAAAACAACATGGACAAGTATCATCTGAATTGACACTTGACAATACCGCACTAGCAGTGTGCTGAATGTGTATTTCTCCATTTTTGTGGTTTTTGTTTTTGTCAATTACCAGTGCTGTAATTGACATGTGATTGAAGTTTATATATATATATATATATATATATATATATAATATCTAATTGGTGTTAAAACCCTAACACCAATTTGATCAAAATTATTCTATCACCTAATCGTTTAATCTCAACCACTTAAAGTTTTGTCCACTAGAATGCCAACTCCATTGCGATTCCTTTCCCAACCTGTGTACCATAACTTATGTCCTAGGTTTCCAATCTCTTTTGCCTTCTCTCCCGTCCAGTTGATTTCCTGTAAGCAGAAGATGTTAATTCTTCTTCTCAGCATAACATCTACTAACTTCATAGATTTACTGGTTAAAGAACCTAGATGAATTTTCCTATCATGGGCTAGCTTTTCCCTTTGCACACGTCCATGAATGTGTAAGGACCCCCTTGCATATTTTTCACCATATCCTTGCATGGGCTAGCTTCTCCCTTCGCACACGTCCATGAATGTGCGAGGACCCCTCTTGCCCGGGGCCCAGCATAGCGTGTCGCACGTAGGGAACGCCCCAATAGAGTTTGTAAATGAGAAATCCATGTAGAATGACATATTTTTATGCTAGCTGTCAACCTACCGCAACCTTTCATCCTTTAATCGGGCTTAGGACCGGCGGTACGAATCACCGTATAGGCGGAGTTACACACCCCCCACACCCCAAAAAAAAATGTAACTCATATGCGAGGGCTTAAACTAGACTCTCGTTATCATTTAAGCCCATTTGTGAACCGGAAATAGTGCATAGGTACTCTTCAATGAAGCAGGGCCGAGACGACATGACATACTACGATCATGTACAGAAGTGCTGCCCTTCGGCTCGGCAATACGGAACCTTTCAACAGCTCCCGTTCCTTTATAAGATCCTATCGGACCTTTTAGGCTGAAAATAAGATGAGAGAGAGGAAATGCTTTTTTATGCTCTAAGAAATTCGTACACTGGATCCATTAGATTATCTTCATTACAATCTTAGGGCTCGTAAGTTGCCTTGGCGGTTTCTCTTATGTGTTGGAAAAGAAACGCCATGCTTTAGTTAGGTATCAATAGAAGGATGTCAGTTGTTTAATCCAAACATTGAACTGGACAATGGGAATTTGGTGATTTTTGAGATCCAAGTTTTTTCCTCTAATGATAGAATTACATTACTGGTCTCCTAGTGCATGTTAGGTACCTTTACTTTTTAAAGGGCAAAAGAGTTGATGAGTGTTTTTTTCCTTGGAATTAAAACCTTATTTTTGGTGGATGAATCTTGGGGTACTGGCCTTTGTACCTTTCTGAACATACCTTCTTTTCTATATAGTATCTCTACAGAAGTTTGAGTTTACCACGCACGTGCCCTTTTTCCTACGTGCCTTTTTTTCCTGTCGAAAAAGGGCATGCTAGATTAGGTTATGTTTCACTGATTTCCTTTCTATTATATCAAGGGTCATGCTTTGTGCGGTAAAACGTAATCTTGTCTTCATACTATTATTTCGTTTTATATCAATCTGACGTTGTGTTATCATTCCACATGGAAGTAGTTATTTGACCCATCTTTGTAACTTTGTTTTTCAGATCCTTGAAATGGACACCTATAGGTACCATGGTCACTCCATGTCTGATCCTGGAAGCACGTATCGTACGCGTGATGAGATCTCTGGTGTGAGACAGGTATTTCGATGATAGCCCTATATTTATATGCAGGAAAGTAATCTTGTATTCTGGCTAGAGCTTATCATTAATAGTTTTTCTTGGTGATGTTTCTAGGAGCGTGATCCAATTGAGAGAATAAGAAAGCTGATATTGGCTCATGATATTGCTACTGAAAAAGAGCTCAAGGTATCTTTCATACTACAGTGTTTCCACTTTCATGGACTTGCATTACAATAATGTTCTGTGTGAATTTTCTTTGTGAATCTGATATCCAATTTAATATTTAAGGAATTCCATAATCAGGAACAAATTTTGATTATTAATTCTCTTCAACCTTGCTGCTGTGGGGCTTGATCTTAGCATTGTATGCCCAAAGAAGACCTTCTTTGTAATAATGCTTGAAATATTTAAGTTGATTCTTAAAACCATATGAAAGTGCTGATAATTGTTTGCTTTACTTGAAGGATACTGAGAAGGAAATAAGAAAAGAAGTGGATGAAGCCATTGCTAAGGCCAAGGTAAGACTCCTGTTTCATTTCACCATTTGATTTTTTTTTTTTTTTTTTTTCCAGTTATATACCTGTACCTTTTTTACAGGCAGTCTTGCTTATCTTCCTCTAGCATAGATTACAGGTCTTTATTGGATGTTCTTTAGGGTTATGATTTTAATGCTGTTGTTTTTATTGTTTTTCAGGAAAGTCCAATGCCAGATCCGCCTGAACTCTTCTCAAATATTTATGTCAAAGATTCTGGACTTGAGGTAATATTTTCACTCGGAGGATAATATCCCCTGCCTTGCCCCCCTTAAACAAGCTATTGAATTCGCACCTTGTGTCCTTTCTTGATTAGCAAGAATATTTTTTACCATTTAACTGATTGAATGTTTCTGATTATTAATCGCAGGTATATGGTCCAGATAGGAAAGAAGTCAGACTTACGCTTCCTTGAATGAAACCCGACGGGGAAAATTTCTCGTTACTGACATCTTCCCTGCCTTTTTGTTCTCGCCTAAACGGACCACAATCATCCTTTCTCCTGGAAAAGAAGGGGGGGAAAAAGAAGCAATAAATGATTGAGTGAAGATGTTTTTCTCATCTGGTTAAAATTCCATTATTTTCTTTTTTGTATAGGATATTGATTCTTCTCAAGAATTGGGGCGGAATGGTTGAATTCCAGCCTTTGTACTTTTGCGGTGAGCCCATAACCTTTTGATTGATAATGAGTGTGCTTTTGATCCTCCAATACTGGCATTTCTTCATCTGTTTCGGCTCTTATTTTTAATTACGCTTTTCATCTGTGTCTCTCTGTGTGTGTGTGTGTGTGTGTGTGTGTTCTTTTCGTTTTAAAAGGGTAAAAAACGACTTCTAAAACGTCATTAACCACTAAACGACATTAACGGGAAAGCAAAAACCATAACAGGAGTGTAAAAAAAAAAAAAGAAAGAGTAATCTGATTCTTGACAAATATCCATTGAAATTGTATGATCATGATTTTTACTTTTTATTTATAATCTTTTTAGTCAAATAATTACATTAACAAAAAGATATATCAAGAATAAAGGATAAATGTTCAGACTCTAAATTTTTTATTTAAAAAATAAAAATAAAAAACCTAACAGGAACCCCAAACCATGCATAATAACGAACTTAAAACTCCATTAAACGATAATTGGTATGAAGAAACGACGTCAAAGTAAGGAAAGGCAGTAAGCAAAAAACATTATGAACTGAACTACTGATTAACGGCAACCGACACGGATGACAAATGCAAGAAAGGCAAAACCGACCTCAACTGGGTAGACGACAACTGCGCAAGGGGAAAACGACAACGACAGAAGAAACCACGATAACAAGAAAACGACGTCAAAGTAAGGAACGGCAGTAAGCAAAAAAACATTATGAATGAACTACTGAAAAAGGGCAACCAACAGAAAAGACAAATGCAAGAAAGACAAAAAACGACATCAACTGGGTAAACAACAACTGAGTGAGGTAAAAACGACATCAAAATAAAAACGACAATGAGGTAAATGACAATAACATAAAAAAGAGAATAAGAGAAAAATACTTCAATGACAGAATCTAAACCCAAAACATACTAACTTAAGAACGCCAGCAACACATTAAAAAAATGAAAACGACAGATGAAGAAAAGTAGAAAACGACAATAAATTAGTGAGAGAACCAATTAAAAAGAAAGAAAAAAAAGACATGACATTACATGAAGAACAATCAAAACATAAACAATGATAAAAGGGAGGATAACGTGATAACAAACGTAAACAACGTGGAATGGATAAACGACAAGAACATAAAACAATGATTAAAAACGACGTCAAGTGAAAAACGACAATAACTCAACGACAATGGCGACGACATAAGAAAAAAAATGATACCAACTGGGAAAATGACAACCACCAAAAACGATGAATTCCTTAAAAACGACAATATGTTGAAAACAACATGGACAAGTATCATCTGAATTGACACTTGACAATACCGCACTAGCAGTGTGCTGAATGTGTATTTCTCCATTTTTGTGGTTTTTGTTTTTGTCAATTACCAGTGCTGTAATTGACATGTGATTGAAGTTTATATATATATATATATATATATATATATATATAATATCTAATTGGTGTTAAAAGGTAGGAGATCACATCAATCTAAGTGTTGAAAGTCGAATAAATGAAGTTTACAATTCAGTGATACTTTCTGAGCCGTTTATCCAAGTTTTTTTCGGCTTTATATATATATATATATATATATATATATATAATATCTAATTGGTGTTAAAAGGTAGGAGATCACATCAATCTAAGTGTTGAAAGTCGAATAAATGAAGTTTACAATTCAGTGATACTTTCTGAGCCGTTTATCCAAGTTTTTTTCGGCTTTCCTGGTGAGTAAACAAACAATCGGATATTTTGCCATTGACGTCTTCTTCGCAATAGCAGGCTCAACATTAATTGTCGTATATTCTTTATGCTATTTTAGAGATCCAAAAATTGATTTAAGAATTAAAATGTTATCTATCCATAATAGCGTGGCTGTTACGCGTGGTCCACCTGCCCGCTTATACACACACACACACACACACACACAATTAAACACACACCTCACTTGTAGAGGCAAACTAGGCTTATAGCTCTGTGAAAATTCATCAACTCAGAATTTATCTCATTATGGATTATTCACGCATTAATTCACACGAATTAAGAAAAAAATAAATGCATAAGTAAAAAAGACACAAAGTTTATAGTGGTTTGGTAAAATATTATTAGCTACGTTTACTTGTGTATGCATTAAATCTCAAGGAATACAAGAAATCTCTGTGAGTGAAAAATTGTGCATAAAAACTAAATGAGGAGTTTAATCTTTATTTATAGGTTCTTCTGTATATGATATCTCTATCTCTAAATCACATCGTGAGATAAGCTTCTTTATCCCCTTTTTAGATAAGAATTTACTTAGTTTTATCTCCACATTTAATTATCTAAATTTAAATACATAGTTGTAGTAGATAATCTATATCTGCTCTTCTATTTGAATTTGAATATAAAATAAGAGTTATCTTCTCCTGATTTGGCGGGCTTTAGGTTGATTTCGGCCTTATCTCAGACTCGTCGACTTCTCTACATAGACATTTTTACGATTTTTTCAGGACCTTCCGACCACAATCACACAACTGCTTGAGAACTCTTCATTCAAAAGAATCTTTCCCTTAACTAGTACTTCTCGATAAGTAAACTTGATCCTGACTTCTGAAATTCTTGACGACTTTACTTAAATAAATGGTCTGAAATCTTGATCATGGTGCAACAACTAGTAGCTGCAAACATGGTCATAATTTAATCTAATAATAACAAACAGGTGGTGTAAATTAATCCCTCGGTATGTATGCAGGCTTACGCGCCTTTCGGGAACAAATTCAAAAAAAAAAAAATTCTAAGAGAAATATTGTAATTAAAAAGATTGAATTGTGACATAAACTTATAACTAAATTACCAAATAGCGCTTTAAGTGGTGATAATTCCACACATACTTTAACAATAAAATCTGAAGTTAAAATTGCTCGTCTCAAAAGAAAAAAAAAAAAAAAAATGGTCGGTGCCAAATGAAAGTCCTTGAAAAATGGAACAAGCAAAATCCCATTTGTTAAAACGTAGGATTATCCAATTTTCTCAGTCCCTCGCCATGTTATCACATGGAATCCATGAAAAGGAACAAGAAACCCGGGGCTTTCACGGGCGATATGTCACGTAAATCCATTAAATAATGCCTACATTTCTACTTCTGCCTTGGCAGATGCATTGTAGTAAGGTTTTCAATTCTTCAGTGGGGCCCACCTAAATTGGTGGCTGGGTCCCGCATAGCACTTTTTTTATTGCTTTGAACAGAGTTTACTTATTGCTTTCATCTTCCTCACTTGTTTTACCTCCACGTGGGGCTTTCACAAAAAAAAAAAAAAAAAAAAAAAACAAGAAGAAAAAACGCCACCGTCCAACTACC